CACCCTCAATAAATTTAGGGCACTAAGAATCAAAGAAAAAAGTGGATTGAAAATTGGATAAAATTTAATTAAAATCTAAGTCCCCACCACACTGAAAAATGGCCTGAAAGTTTAAATGATATCATAACAAAACAATTCCCATCAAAGCTGCCTTGCATATATTTTTGGTCGGTGAACCTTTTTCTATATATTTGAATTCCAGCCAAATTAAAAAAAAAAAACAAAAATTAAAAAGTTATTTCTTTCCATTTTCAAATTTTAGCTTAGATTTTGATTTTTTTTTTAAAAAATTGATTAACCAGACAAAGAAATGTTCAAAGTGGAAGGAGTGGTTATAAGCTTAATTTTCAAAAACGGAAAACAAAATACAAAATAGTTATCTAACGAGGGCCTTAACTTTTTCATATGTTTATTGATGCATTATCGTCTTTATCGATCGCAAACAATTAAGAGAGTAACAAATTTCTAAACTAATCAAAATGAAAACATACATGTCTAACTAATTGAGTTATGTTCAGATTGACTATCCTGCTATCCTTTTATGTTTATAAAGTTTTTAGATTTAGTCCTACTACCAATATAATGTGACGTACACAAGTCGTTATAGAATTGACCTAGTTAGCGGTCGTTGGAGTAAGTAAAAAAAGAAAAAAAAAGAATAAATAACTTTATAGATAATGAATATTTCAAATTAAACTATAGCAGCCACTCACCTAAAATTAGCATTTTCTCGACAACCAAATATTGAGTTATGCGTGGTTTAGATTTTAAAAGCCTCAAGATTGTAGTGCACCATCAAATAAACCATCCATATATCTATTTTTTTTTTCTTTGAGAAAAAGAAAAGAGAAGAGGATGTCAGTGGCATTATTTTAGTGTCCTTTAGGAAAAGAGTTAAATTCAAGACAATTACAATTCATAGAGAGGGAGAGAGTTGTCAAAATATCTTTTTGGTTATCAAATTTTTTTTTTCTCATTAATTTGTTTCTTTTCCCTTCTTCCACACAAACAACTTGCATCTTGTTTTGTTCTTTTTCACCTCATCATAGATTTCAAAACTCATCATTGCATATGCTTCAATGACCCACCAAAACCAAAAATGCCAACTTTTTTTTTCTTTCTTAACTCAAAAAAGAGAGAGGAAAAATCATGAGTTTTTGCACTTCAACTTTGTGTGATTGAGAGAAGAGAATGCATACATCCAAAAGTACCTTCCTCTTTTCATTGCTTGTTTTGGACTTCCACAAATTCATTATCATCTTTTAATATATTGTTTTCTCATTTCATTTTATCTCTAATTTTTGTGTACTTTTTCACCTAATTAACCAAACCCTCATGCATGGATGAAGTTGAACTTCCTTAATCAAAACCAACATCACATCTTTTCAAACTCAAATGATCTTAATTAGTGTCATCTTTATTCATTTTTGAATTATTTGATACGACCACAAACTTGATTGCAACGACCTAATCAGCTTTTAAATAAAGGAACAACACTTTAATTATACAAGTAGTACTTTGGTTGATGTTTAGTGTTCTATACTCTCGGAAGTATTTGAAGTACTACTTTCCCAATAAACCCTTAAACCAAAAACGATTTACAAGTACTTTCTCACAAAGCATATTTAGTGGTGCTTTTAGATCACTTCCAGCCGTATTGATTTTAAGTCAGTGAGAAATCTCTCTAATCATGACAACGACCAACACTCTCAAACACGAACTTAAACAAGTATTTGAACCCACACGTAGTTGAAACACACTAAGTTCTCGTCAAACAATCAATGAAAAAGAAACAGCAAAGAGTATGGTAATGTTGTTTTAAGCTTACCACAATGAAGAATCAAAATGAAACTAGAAAGCAAAATGTGATTTTGAGCCAAAGAAATAATATAGGAAGAAGTTAACAAAAAGGGCACCCCACAAGATGTACAAAATACAGCTAACCAAGTGGAGTGGAGGGACCCAAATGCAATATAAGAGGCTTTGGGGTGTGGAGAAGTAATTGTCTTTATTTGCCATAATTAAGTTTTGACGCCTTATGAATCTTTAAATGCCATTGATGCCTCTGATTTATTTGCCTGAGCTAACTTTTCTACATTTGACACCTTGATGCTGACTGCCAAACTAATGTATACACACATATATGACTCAAAAGTCCCTAATATTCGGATGTTTTTTAATTTAGTCTCTATTATTTAAAAAATTTTAATTTAGTCATTTTCGTCTGGGGTGAATCTTAAAATTGGGTGTAGATAAACTTACTTGACATAATGTTTAGTCAATTAAATTGGACGAAAATTTAAAGGAGACAAAAGGGTTATAATTTTATTTGATGGATGAAATAAGAAAATCTTCTCTTGTAATCTCAATCCTATTCTTTGAGTAAGCGATCCCATCGCTTATCGATCTAAATAGTCTAGGATAAAGTGAGAGGAAATAGATTCATACCCCATAATGACCATCTGCCTTGAAAATTAATTCTTATGTGTTTCCTTGAGATGCACATCACTTGACCCGAATACCCACGATATCAAGAAAAAAAAAACCATATTATCTTAGTATTATAACATGTAAGTTTACCATCACCTAATTTTTATAGGGGCGACGAACTTGGAAAAACATACTAATACTAGGGACTAAAACATGCATATATTAATTTTCCATTTACCAAACAATGTATTGGAATTTTTTTTTTTCATTTGGGAAATTAATGACTCAGATTTCTCACCAAATTCTTATGTTAATGAGATTTTGATTAGTGCATGTGCAACTCTAATTAATTATGGGGTTGGTCGTGCTAATCATCATCCATTATTGCTCATCTCTCTTTGTTTCCTTGTGATCATGTGCTATCTTTTTAATCACATTAATGCACTTGACACTTTTGGATAACTTATATTATTGATGTCTTTAATTCCGACTCAATTATTAGAATGAGGCATGCTTGAGTTTTGTGTTGATCACGATATCTTTTCTCGAATTGATCTTTGAAGGTGGGCCTGAGACGATATATTAGAGAAAATTAACAACAAAACATAAAGAAATAACATGGACTAATTGAGGAGCTAAATTATTAACAATACATTTTATGTCATGTCATCGTCAGCCACATTAATATTATGGAGCTAAATTGTTAAAAATAAATATAATCAAAATGCTGAATTGTGAATCCAAAAAGTTTAAATGCCATAAATAGACAGAAAATGTAAAAACATCAACTAAAAGTGCAATTTATCTTAAGACAATTAGTTCTACATTAAAATCATTATTATACATGATTTGCTAATTAAAATTCATCTCATTAATTATACAACCAAACTCTTATTGATATAAATAACTTAGATTGTACAAAAATCAAATATGAAATATTGACTAGAATTTATGATTTTAAGAGAATCAATTTCAAAGTACATCAAACAACCAATAACAAGTTTTTTCTTTCTTTCTTCCATTTCTAAGTAACCACCTATTCAAATTAAATGCTTGATTGTTATAATTGAAAGGTGAATTTAAATACTCCAAAATTTCCCCAACCTTTGAGAATTGCTCGAACTCCGGCTTCATTAGAAATAAATAAATAAATAAATAAAAAGTTGGTTGAATTGAAGGGAAATTTTTTTTATTAAAAAAGAAGAAAACATTAAAAGCCATTGGGAAACGTAGGTAGGGAAAGTATGATAAAATTTAATTTTCATTTAATGAGAGTTAGGTATAAATATTTATGAATTTTGGTTTGCATAATTAGCCCCTCTTTTAAACACCTCCTTTGGGAAACTATATATTTGGTTGAATGCCCTTTTCATTCATTTATACTTTGCAACTACATCCTTCTCTAATTTATTTATTGCCATTAACTACAGTAGTTCAATTTTCAAACCACCGTCTTAAATTTTAATATCTTCATTAATCACGCGACACAAGTTTGAAATATCAAAAAAAGTAGTTGCAAGCTGGTTCAGGTACTTGCAGATATCAAAGAAAAAAAGTTCGATATATCAATTTTTATGTTATGTTAATGGATCGTATAATCAGCCTAATTAATAATAATTTTATGACATTGTGTTTTGAATTGTACTAAGAAAAAATAAAAGGCATTTATTGACCCAAACTTTGTGCCCACATCATTATACTTTGCATTTATATATACCAACCTCACCTCCTTATCCTTTTTTCCCTTTAATTAATTAAAGATACATAGGGAATAACTTCTCTGTCTTTCATATATATACAATACCTTCAAATTTATTTTACAATCTCATCTTTTTTCATTTCCATATTTGTGAGTGTCCATACCTGCTTATAAACAATATCAACATTTGATTAAGATATTATTTACCTTTCTATGGGTCGAATGTTTGAATCTTCTACACTATTTTGTGAAACTCAATATGTATATATATATATGTATATATATATATCGTGACAATGCCTGATCCTATCATATTTCTCTTAACTCAATGATGATTTACATTTTACAAGTTTATCTAATTACCAACATTATAGAGGTGGGTGGTTGACAAGAATAATGCATATCTTATATTTCCATCTTTCATTAATAAGGTTGAATTCAACTCTCTTTAATTAATAGGGATTCATTGAAAAGATTTATGAGTTTAGGGCTTAGTATGTAATTTAATGTGTAATATAAAATAGTATTAAAATAAGTATACATCTCTATAAAATCTTTTGAAAAAGTAAATTTACAAAGAATTAATTAATTGTGAACTATTTGGAAAAAAAATATATGTTTCTCAATCAACGTAACTAATGAGTATTAGAGAGAGAAAAATTTTTCATACAAGAAATCTTACTCATAATTGAAAACCCCACCTTCCTTTTCATATTTTTTTACATATAGTTTCTACATCTACCAAAAAACAAGAAAACAAAAAACCAAAAAAGAAAAAGAAAATAAAAATAAAAAACAAAGAAATCTATGTCTTCAAGCTGATGATTTCTGTCCCCCTCCATCTACAATACAATACTTTCTTTTTCCTCTCTTTTTTTATTTTTTTCTTTACCATTAAATAGAAATATTCAGATCAATCCGAGGTTTCTTCGCCGGCGGCAACGGCACGACGGAGCTGCACCGCGGACACGTCGGATTGTTCTTCATCACCAAGACGTACGAGAGGCACCCGGGGCAGCCGGCGGCGATCGGCGACGACGAGATGGATCGGGAGTTGTCGTCGTCTTCTTTCACCGACGACGACGACGACGAATACGACGGCGACGGCGACAGCGACGACCGTTTTCTGATCGGATTTTTCTCGGCCCTTTCGAGCGCCGATTTCACCTTATCCAAAGTGCAGACGCTCTGGTAATTACTCCTCGGCGACGGCGACAGCGACGGCGACACCAATTTCAAATCCAAATTGGTTTCGTCGGAAAAATGATTTGATAATTGGAATTTTGGGTAATTGGGCGACGGCGGAAAGTTCAAATCTTGAAGCTTTGTCACTGTTGGATTCGTCTGGTGGTGGCTGAAATCCGGCGCGTTGCATCTTTGAATGAACATTTTTCCCGACTGCAATAATTAATTTCATTTTAATCAACTACTCCAAAAAAATAATAATAAATAAATAAATTGAATACTCTGTTTCTTCAGCCAATACTCTGTTTCATTGCCAGCTAAAACAAAACAATACACCCAAAAAAAAAACATTGTTCTATGTTTTTCCGACGATACAGCCTTGGATTTTTTTCAGCAAAACGAAAAGAAATTACCGAGCAATTCAATCGAATTAAGTTTCAGCAAAACATAGGGTTGAGAAAAAAAAGGGGGTTTTTTGTTTTCTCGGGAAACAAACAGAGGCAGGGATGAGAAAATGAAGGGTGAAATCGTACCTTCAAGTCGAGCTTTCTCTCCCAGCCGGAAGGAACTTGGAGGTCGAGGTCCAATTCTTGAGAGTCTGTAAATTTGGAGTAGCCGCTGAGCAAATCGCGGGTGATCAATTTCTCGGTCCCGGATTCATTGCCCACCGTCCGATGATGGTCGCCGTCGTAGCCGGCGCGGAGCCGCACCAGCGAGCTAACTTCGGCGGCCATATGCACAGAGAGAAAGTAGAGAGAGAAACAGAGGAGGAAGAAGAAGAAGAAGTGTCGGTTTTGTTGTATGGGCAGAGAGCTCTCTATATATGGTGGAAAATTATGAGGAAGTTATATAAATTATTATAATAATAATACTACAAAAAAGTTTATTTATTTTTTCTTGTTTTAGTCGTTTGATGTTTGAGTATTTTTTTTTTCTTTTTAATTTAGTTTGGAATTTTCAATTTAACCCCCAGGTGAAGAGTGAACGTTAAAATTGACCTAACAAGATATTTGAATTTTAAAAAAATAAATAAAAATATATTTGACAATAATTTCTTATTTTTTGTTTTCTAAAATTTTAAAGTAATAAAAGTCAAATTTTCATAGGAAATTTATTTATTTTTAATTAAATATTCAACTTTTGTACGTTATATTAACTTTTTAAATATTTATTTATTATTCATTTTAAAGTCAATAATAATAACAACATAATACTTTTATTTATATTTTGAAAAAATTGAGCCAAACAGATTTCCAAAATTTATATACAATTTTATGAGCATTTTTTTAAAATGAGAAACAAAAACAATTCCTATGTTTCTAAAAAAATGGTGAATTGAGAATATTATAAAATAAGTTCTTAATGACTTAAAAATTCATATGAAAATATATATTTTTCTTTTCTATGTGACTTAATTTACTTTTTAAATTTATGTCCGTTCACTGTAAATCAAGCCAATTTAAATATTCATCAATTAAAAATGGTGTAATTAAGAAAATACTATAATACAAAACACTACGTGTTTAAACAGTGGAGACTCAATTGAAAAAATTTGAAAAAGAAAGAGAAAAAGAAAAAGAAGAGTGTGATAAAAACAAAAAAAAAGAATGAATTAAAAATGAAATTTATATAGGGGGATGAGAAATTGGATTTCCCCAATGGGAGCATCTCATTAAAGAAGCGAACAATAAATAAAAGGAAGAAATCAATTCAGAAACTTAGAAGGAGCCACCACCTAAGTTCAACTTATGGACGCATTAATTGCCCACCAAAACTTTGTGCTTTACGGATTTTCTTTCCATATTTAATGTCATTTTTTTCATTTTTATTGTTTTAAAACGTCAACTGGATAATTCAAAACATATAAATATAACCTGTGATTTATTGTCAACAATTTCTCCAATCATCGCAATTAATAACACCTATAGTTATTTATTGGATAATAGGCAGTAGTGAGGATTAATTAGAGACTAAACTGCAAATAATAACTTTACATTTTTAGTTCTTTTTATATCTTATTCTTATATTATATATTTAAATTTAAAACTATAAATACTTGCAATTTTTGTACTTCTTTTCTTCGTAAAATTAACCTTTTATAGAATGGAAACACGAATATTAAACAACAATTTTAATAGCCAACACGAATTTATTTTAATGATAATTGATAATTGATACTTTTTTCAATCATGTTATTCTCACTAAACTTTAAAATTAAATGACAAAATGATGATGTAATATTAAAATACATGAGCTAAAATTACTTTTTAAGTTTTTTTTCTTTGACAACGAAAGTAGATTAAATAGATATATTACACACCCATAAACTTAATAATTTACTCATTTTATATGACTTAGTACATATATTAACTTAATTAAAACAAAGTTGTATATTGTAATAGAAAATTGACATATTAAGGTCACATTTGATGACTATTTCATTTTTTATTTTTTGTGATTTTAAATTATTCTTATTTTGTTCAATTTTGTTATTATGTTTTTTTATCTCTCTTGAAAATATATTTGAAGGTTTACCTAAATCTAAAAAATAAAATCTAATTTGAATATATTAACAACTATTTTTTTAATAACCCCAATTGTCAAACTCATAAAATCTATTACTTTTTAGTCCATATACCATCATTATTTGAATATTTAATGTTGTTAAGGACTTAAAAAAATCAATTAAAAAAATATCTAACATTTTAGATGTTGAAACATGTATCTAGTTTAAAAGAAAATAAAAATCACATAATGTGGATAATTATACATTTTTCAACCCATTCTTTTTAACATTATTACGTAATTCAAAAAATACCTATGCCAAAAAAAATATAGTTCAGTGGTTATTAACATATATCCTCAACTACTAGATTGTGAGTTCGCATGTTTAGACCCATAAGATGGATGATATTTTCTTATCTAAAATATGACCAATACCAAACTTGATAAGTCGATGGTATATTTTATAAAACATATTGGGTCTATATAGCTCACGCCTCTCCAAAACGTAGATCTTGGTGCGAAGACTAAACTATGATATGAGACTAGTTGCAATTGTGTAACAACTTCTGTAACGGTTATAATATAAAAATCTCCCGAACTCCTAAATATGCAGTCACTCTTATAGGTAAGTATGTGATTATGTTTAAAAATCGATTCAATAGATTTAATTTAAGAATAATTTGTACGTTTGTTTACCGCGAATCGAAGTACGAACCCGAGTCGAGGAGGGAAATTCTAAAGAGACGTACATTGACTTTTCATTAACACTAACCATCGATGGGTTTCTGCCACGTGTTACAATGCCGCACATTTCGTCAATTCTATTTGAATAAATCACAGTCGGTTCAGTTGACGAGTAAAAATTCGTAAAATGACCGAAACACCCTTCCTTTGATTTAATGCTCATAGTCAATAGTCATATAATATAAAACTCACCATTAAGACGATTCTTGGTTCTGCAGTTTTATTTTTGGCATTGCTACATTTTCAACAATCGTACTTTATGTTATTTAATTCTCTAATTTATTAACACTTTCTAGCCTTTCTTTTTTTTATTTATCGTTTCTTGATCAATTTTATAAATGGTCAATTCATTGAATGATTATTAATTATCCCATTTCGATAAATTTTTGGTATTCGTTTTATGAGGATTTATTATGTATGTATATATATGTGTGGTTTATTCAACCAAAAGATAAATGTAATAGTTATAGAAAGAAGTGTAAGCATGGAAATAAGAATAGTAGATTTCGTAAAAGAAAATAAAAAGTAAAAAAAAAAAAACAAAGAAAGAAAGATATATATATGTATATATTGAAAAAGGGGAAGGGACCTATAGCGTCAAGAAAGATTGAGATTTAATGAAGTAAAATCATATTATTATTTTCCATTTTTATACACGTCCCTAAGAATAGACAATCAATCAAATATAAAATACAAAGCTGTGTCAATTCAAACATAATTTGTTTGATAAAATACTTATTATTTTAAATGTAAATAATTTGATCAATATCCTTCTAACTAAATAAAATCTAAACATAAACTCGTATCACACATAAATAGAGAATATGTTGTACCAAAGCGATCATAACTTAGTAGTAATTAACATATATCTATAATATAATTAAGAAGTTGTAAGTTTAATCTCTCTACATATTAAAGAATATAGAAGGCGTCGCATTTTTAGTTGAATTGAAACTAAGCTTAAAATTATATGGACAAGTTGGTAATTTAACGTTTTGAATTATTAATCTAAAAGTCAAGCGAACTAATTTTTTGGGGTTGAAAAAGAAGAAGGCATTGGTAAACAAAAACAATGGCACATTAATGGTATAAATAAAAACCACATAAGATTTTTCCAAATCCTTGAAAATGTTGGCAGTGTTCTTACACGTACGGGTGGTGGTATTAATTGGGTTGGTCAAACATTGGAAACTTTTCTTTAAGAAAAATAAAATAAATAAATAAATAAGAAAGAAAACTGTGCGTCTTTTAAAAGTGGGAAGTAACATCAACGCATTTAATGCTCATTCAAACTCCCTCCCATTAATGAAACTAAACAACGACTCTCATAATGTTTCAATTTATTAATTTTATTTTTCTCTATTATATATATATATATATATCTCTCTCTCTCTCTCTCTCTCTCTCTTTTTTTCTTTTTTATATTTCAATTCAATATATACATTATCTCAAACTGATGATGCATGAATTTAATCAGCCCAATCGAAGGTGGCCGCCAGCCAGCTTTTTTTAAGATTCAACACTCATTAATTGTCACTTTTTTTTTTTTTTAATTTGTGAGTGAAACTCCTAATTTATTTCTTTTTCCCACATAGTTTCCTCGAAATTATCAATTTATGTCTTCTATAAGCTTAACATATGATTTATTGTCTCTTTTTTTAAATTTTCATTAATCAATATTTTGGTTCAAATTAAACATCACTATTGTTTTAAAAATTTTAATACGAGTATTTTTAAAGTTGAGTATGTAAATAAGATGTCTTAGTCGTTGAATTTTAATTCAACAGTGTTAATGTTTTTTCTGAATTCAACTAGAAAAAAATTGTCCCATAGGAGTTTGAATAATTTCATGTGTAATATATATAGGTTAATTAATAGGGTCCATTTGTTCTTTTTTAAATTGTTATTATATTATAATGGATGCCTTTTTAAAAAATGTACTTTTATTACCTTATACTAGTTTGTTTATTTTTCCTTAAGAAAAAAGCCCTTATTTGAAGAAAAACTGATTTAGCTTAAATGGTATACAATTTGGCTGTTTGCTCACAAAGCAATTCTAAAAGGAGGAAAAATCCAATTATTGTCATTATTATATATCTGGAGAAAGATTAAAAAATAAAGATAATATTTTTCCAAGTTTAAAGACGTTCAAAATTCAAAGTTTTAAAACCGTCTGAGAATTATTTTTTTAAATAATCATTTTGATTCTTAGATTTATTTTGCATTTAATATAAATAGACAACATGATTTTGAATATATTTATTAACATGTTAACATGTGAATATATCCAAACAATATTGCTTGGAGCGTTGGAGGTGAAATATCCATATATTAGGTCATAGAATAATATTTCAAATACTAAAATGATTAGTTTATTTATTTATTTATTTTAAGTTTAATAATTAAAATAGACATTTTGAAAGTTGATAAACTAGAATAGGACCAAAATAGAATAGAGATCCCCAACTAAAAAGAGGTCTAACCCTAATTTTTTTAAAAATGACTAAATAAACATAAATATATATATAGAGGATTTTATTTGAAAATAAAATAGATATATTAAGGCCCAGTTTGTTATTGGGCTAGAATTGTAACAAGTAGGGCCCAAGAAACTGTAATCTTGGGATGGGAGAGAGAAGGGGTGGGCCCAAATAAGGATCCAATACGCAGAGAATCTTGTCGCCTCGCCATCGCCACAATTTTCAGAATACAAATGGGTCCTCTCTCCACTCAATTCCGGTTCCGATTCCCTCTAATTTCTTTTCTCAATCTTATCACTTTTTTTTTCCTTTGTTCTTCAAAAATATATACCCTCAGTCTTTGAATTGATATTCAAATCCAAAATTTGTAATTTAACAGGAGAAAAAAAAAGTAGATCCCTATTGAAACTTTAGGTTATAATAAATATATACCACGCCTTAAAACATTTGTCCGAATAAATATTTAGCTTATTATTCGTCATGTTCTTACTAGATGATTTATGTAAAGTTAATAACGATCATTGAAATTTCAAGTTGGGCATATATCACCAACCTGAATATAATTTAATTAATTAAGACATCTATCTCTGATAAAAAGCTGTGAGTTTGAATTCAACTCCCACCTATCATACTCACAGAAAACGGAAAAAATTGAGCACAACTCAATATTATTGTTGAGGTAGGAAGTAACATTTTATGAGATCATGACTTCACATTTCCACCCTACAAACGACAAAAAGTAATGATTAAAATGATTTTTTATACAAATATCATATTTTCAAAACCGTTGATGATAAATACCGATTGAATAATTAAAATTATTAATTTTCTTTTCTTGCTAGGTAGGGTGGGATTCAAACATCTCACAATTGTGAAAGGTTATTTTATATTTGAGTTATACTCTTTACAATTGAAAACAATTTATCTAAAATGTAAAATAAAACTTTATTAATCCGAAGTTGAATTTAAATTATTGAATTTTAAATAAAGTAATGATAAGATTAAATAGTTTTATTCTCAACGCTGTACAATATGAATATGAGGTAATTTTGACGATCTAGTTATCAAAACAGTAACATATCCCGACTCCTAAGAGACATGCTCTTGAAGTAATTCTCCTTGTTAATAAATGTCCCTTCTCAACAAAATTCAAGACAAATAACTCAATGTTACCAAAATATCCCTGGTAATATTTTTGGATGTCCTCCATATAATTAAGATACGAGTTTATTTTTTCTACAACAAAGATGGAAATGAAAAAGGAATCTATATTTCATTTTTTTAATATTTTTAAATATGTGTTAAAAGTCGATTTAGGAACCGAATATCAATTTAAAATACTACTGAATTAGTAATATTTACCAACTAAATATTTAGTTTAATCTAAAATATTATTATTTTCTATAATTATTATTTTATAATTGTTTCATATTTATATTATGTTTTACCTTTAACAAAAATGAAACCAGTTTTTTTAATGTGAAAGAGTGTTTTTATTGATATTATTATTTTAATGAAATTCTATATTTTAAAATTTTAAATTTAAAATCTGATAATACTGAAAATATATAAATATTTTCTGACTTTCCACTAATTGAATCACATAATTTCGAGGGGTAATTTGGTAAAAAGTGGAGGCAATCTTCATGAATATTAATTACGGAACATYTTGACAAAACCTACGGGAATTTCATCGACTCTTTCGACTCTCTCTGCGTTATCTTTCTCGATTTTTCTCTCGCTCTGTTGCTGAGAACTTCGGAAGAAAAGGGATGCAGATCTTCGTCAAAACCCTAACTGGCAAGACGATCACGCTCGAGGTCGAGAGCAGTGATACCATCGATAATGTCAAAGCCAAGATCCAGGTCTTTATTTACTGATTTCATTCGCTTACTGCTACTTTTTACTTTCAGCTTCTATGAATTCCTTCTCCGCCGTAAGCGACTGAGCTTTTTAGTTCAGGCGGAGGAGATTTTCTGGCATACGGATATTTGGTTGAATTTCGCCTTTGCTTTGCACGTGGTTAATGTTTCCGGCTTCTGATTAATGTTTAGTCTAATTACTTATTTAATCCATTGCTAATATCTTTGTTTTGCTGCTTGAAGAATCGTTCGATGATCGAGAGGTTGCTCTATGCCGACTCGATTTCAGTTATTTTGTTCTTGTTTATTTGTTTTATCTACTGAGGAGATGTTGTATAAACTCTGGTTTTTGATCGATACTCACTAGCATGCTTTTGTTTCGGATTTTGTGTCATTGCATGACCAATGGAAAGAAGCTTAAGAAATTGATGTTTATGATTTCATTTTGCCCGCTTTGCTATTAGGTTGAAGAGTAGGTTTTCTTTTCAAATTTGTACTTTCGTACACGTTTTCCTTTATGTATAAACCATGAAATATTTTGATGGTTTCGATCTTTATTTTGATTCTTATCGCAACGTTTACCATATTAGCTCTTCCATGGCGTGATTTTGTAATCTGTGTGTATGTTTTGTAGTTCACTTGAGTTTTCTTTCTCAAAAATTTCTTCAAAATGTTATGTCTCAATAAACTACTGTGGCAATTTGATTATTTTTTCCCGGCTGCTTAATTATTTTTAGATTTTGACTTATGAAGTGCATATTCCCTCTAGTTTCAACAGGGACAGTTAACAATTTTGGTTTTACTGGTTTGTTTATGTGTAGGACAAAGAAGGTATCCCACCTGACCAGCAAAGGTTAATTTTTGCTGGTAAGCAATTGGATGATGGTCGAACACTTGCAGATTATAACATCCAAAAGGAGTCAACCCTTCACCTGGTCTTGAGGCTCAGGGGAGGTACTATGATTAAGGTCAAGACTTTGACAGGGAAGGAAATTGAGATTGACATTGAGCCAACTGACACAATTGATCGTATCAAGGAGCGGGTTGAGGAGAAAGAAGGGATTCCTCCTGTACAGCAAAGGTATGCATTTACCATCTTCTTCAACTTCTTCAACTACAATGACAAAGTCTTTCTATAAGCATGTGTATTAGTGGATTATTTGTTTATTCTCTCTCAAATACATCAGTATGCTCTCTCTGTTTGAGAATCAAATTTGATGTGGAGTTTTCCTATGTAGACAGGGTTCATTAGTTCTTCTTGGAAAGAAACTATAAAGTTTAAGGATTTTAGATTCCAGCATTTATTGTCATGCTTGCTTTATGTTTAAAATGTTTTAGGCATAACACAACTCAAACAATTTACGGGCACGTCTATAAATTACTTTACATGCATATTGTATTTTTTGACATATTTCAGGTATTTAAAGTCTTATTCTGAATAGTAAGATTTGCTTTTAGGATAAAATATAAACGAAGATGTCAGATTTACTACACTCAGAAATGCATTGTCTTATAATGAAGGTTTATTAAAGAAACCAAACCATTGACAAATACACATATCTTTTAATTATTTCATAGTCACATAAGTATGGGAATTCAAATCAAAACATGTCATAACACTATTGTCCAACGATTCAGAATCATGATGTAGATTGACAGGAGATTTTTGTAAGTTTCACATACTTGGAAAACCAACTCCATGGCTGGCGTTCAAGTATCTGTGTTTAAAATGTTATTAAATAACTTCAGAATGTCTAATACTAAATGCCTGATTGTTAGACATAGCCACCTTACTAAATTTAACGTGTCCATGATTTCTAGGCTTTCTCTAGTTGGTTTCCCATGCTCTTTCTTCTAATGTCTGTTTTATGCTCTATTATTTTCTGGAGTGGTGTTAAATGTAAAACTTATCATACTGACATAACGAGAATTAGTGGGTCAACAATTCTGAATTGCATCAAAATTCTTTCTTCTATTTCTTTTGGTCATCTATGCACATCATAAAGGAGATTTATTATCACCTAAATGGGTTAGCGTGGTTTGGTATTGCTTATGATAATAAGTACTATTTTGCAGGCTCATTTATGCCGGCAAACAGCTTGGAGATGACAAAACGGCCAAAGACTACAACATTGAGGGTGGTTCTGTTCTCCATCTAGTGCTCGCCCTGAGGGGTGGTTATCTGTAAAAGCATCTATCACCTTCTGAAATTCTGAATTTTAAAGTTTTTATCTTTGTTGGTGCTTGATGAATGCATGAGCGGCATCTTGCTTGTGTGGATAGAATGGAAAATATTTGAGCCCAGAAGTACTTCAGCAATTACTCTGTAATAGGAGATTTCTCCTGTGTATTTCCATATCTTTCCAAGTTCTCAACATTTAACCATTTGATCTGCGTGGAAGAAGAAGTATGTAAAATTTAGTCCCAAAGTTTATCAATTTTTATTGGGGAATGGAGCTTAATTATCCGTTTGGCTATACTTTATTTTCATGGATTATCTCCTGTCTCTGGCTATGGCTATGGCTGCTTCACAGGCACAAGTGTTTGAACATTCTTATCAGGTACTTTCCACACACTTTCTTTCCTCAATATAATGAGTCGAATTTGAAGTTCTATTATATATATGGTTTGATTGAAGATGTTCAACGTTTTATAAATAAATTGATTTTGTCATTAATATTAATTTTAAGATTTTTCTATTTAAATATGGAAAACATAGGTCTAAATTTTATTTTGCTTCATACACTTTCATGTTTGTTTTGCTTCCTATTCCTTGGTCCACATAGTAAACACACCATTAATAAAAGATTGGTATGGCATATTATTAGTCTATCTAATCAGTCATCCATCACATCACATCATGATAACTTAGCTAGCTAGCCAAAATTCATCCAATAGAAGTGTAAAATTTTGATTCTAAGCGTTGCATGAACTCAATAAAAATGTAATCTAAAAACCAAGTTTGAACATATTAACGAGAGAAATAAACGAGAAAATTTCTGGTACTACGAGAGTATCATACTCCATTTCATTTATTGTTTGCCACATCATCAATGTATTAAAGATGATGATGATGTGGGGTTTATTTCTTTTATTAATGGTGTAAATGGAAGGGAATATGTTACTTTCATAGTATTAGAAATTTTTTCGAAAACGAATCTTGCATCTTTAAAAATTTTCCTACATTCGTCTGAATTCAAGCCACATGGAATGTAACTTCTATCAAACAATGACCCCTTGCGTCAAAGGGCCGCCAACTCCTGGCCACCTGACGTGCGGTGTCACCATCAGCTCAGTGTGCAAAGAAGTAGAGGTTTGAACAAGTTAAAAATTGAAAAGAAAGCAGTTTGATATTTAAACTCGAAAATGAGCAGTGGGCAAAAGTCAGTTCCCAAAAGCTTCTGCCACCGCAGCTTCCTTGTTTAATCTTCACTCCACAATCCACAAAGCTCTTCATTTCAAAAGAAAATAGTGTTTGCATTGCCAAAGTCAAAAGATGTTTACAGGAAGAAAAAACCGAAAACTTGGGATCTACAAAGAAACAAAGAAACAAGCAAACTCTTGGTCTTCCATAAGACATTTAATGAAACATCATAGTACAACACTGTGTGCTCTTTCCATAAGCCGCAACACTTGACGTTTTCCAATTCCCAAGTTTCACATAAAGGGGAATGATGCAACTCCTTCATCATTTTTTTTCTAAATTATTGCATATGGTTGACTTGTTTACCAAGAGCATTTTGATCATTTTTCTAATTTTTTCAAAAATGTGTTTAAATTAGCGATTCATATCTTGTTTAGTGTTTTCAGACTTAATTAAATAAATTTAGTGAATATTACCTATTTGTTTTTTAAAATTATTTTGTGATTCAAGCAGTCAAAAGTCTCAAACTTTTTTTTTATGTTTTCATTATTTTTCAGATTTTGAATTTAAAACTTCAAAATGTAGGGATAAACACTTTGATAAATATATTATTTCATGTTCTAAACTCTGTTTAATTTTTGTTAAAATTAAAACATGCAAAATATAATATATTATAAATCATATAACATTGTAAAACAATAATTATAACAAAAATGTTAATAAATTAATTAGTATTATTTTAGATTAAGCTAAATATTTAGTTGGAAACTACTACTTTATAAATATATTGTTTAACAATTTTTAAAACTGGGATTAAATTTTCAAATCTCCTCTCAAACACATATGAAGACATATTTTTCATTGAATCCCTCATTCTATTTTTGGTTTTGATCACCAACCAAATGCACCTAAACCTTTGGTAACTATTTTTGTTCATGTGGTTAAGAAATGTTTTTAAAAAATGTATGAAAAATACCTAATAAATATTAAAAAGTAAATATAACACCAAATATTTAAATATTTAATCAAAATTAAATTATGTATCCTAAAAAACCACATATTATGATCAGTGAAATATTGAAAGAAGATGGGGCCTCCCATAGTGAAACCCCTTATTGTACTTTTTTTTTGAGTGTGTGTGTCATTAATTTGAACTTTCAACTCAAGCAATTATCTCATTATTGTAATTAAATTTTTAATTGCAACTTTGAACAATACTCAAACCATCTCTTAGTTATAAGTGTAGGTTGCACTTGAAATTAAACCCCAACTCTTAAGCGGTAATGGTGGGTTTAGTTGTTACAACTTTATGTAACTTTTAATTAGAAGGGAAATTGCATATATCCTCAAATTAAAAATACACCTCTATAGTTCAAAGATGATTTTTATTTTAATAAATTTGTGTTTTGGTTGCAAACTAGGATTTATTAGTTCCATGGTCCACATAAACCCTAAATTACAAGCCTTCAAACTTAGGAAAACCTAATTTGTTCCTAATTTACACACAATCTTAAACCAATTACACAAAAACTCTGTAAGATTTTCAAGTTTAGGTTTTTCAATAAGTGAGAGGTTAGTGACAACTGGACTCTCCACATTTTCACATTATATTATCTAATTTGAACACAAACCTTCGTGATTTTGCTTTTGTCTTCACTTGAAATGCTTTATACCAATAGAATATATGTTGTCCCTCACATATATACTATGAATCTTCCGCTTATCCAGATGCAGGACCTTGGTTACGTAATTACTGTTAAGGATCCTATTGAAAAGATAAGGGACCTAACAAAGGATTATAATAGACATGAGTTACTCCTCTCACTTCTAATTCGTTTTGATATGAAACTCATGTATATTGATACGATTTCAAACAAATCTCCGGTCCTAAACTGAGATCCGATTTGGACCAAAAGCTGTTACTAGGAGAAAGAAATGTATGATATATTAGGAGGCATGTTGTATTGGGTTTGTAAGGTGATTGCAAACAAAGTCTCACATTGGCTAAGGAAGGGAATGACCATGAGTATATAAGAGATGACAATTATCTCCGTTGATATGAGGTCTTTTTGGTGAAACCAAAAGTAAATTCGTAAGGACTATGTCCAAAGCGAACAATATCATATATACCGTTGTCCTTAACATATATTGTTGGCAAAATAAGAAAGAAAAGAGTTTTAAGTTGTATAATCCTCCACCATTAGATCAGAGAGGGTTGAAAGACTGAAACTTTAGCTTAAAAAATTCGTCATGCCCATGTAATCACACCTGTGTGTTTGGTGGTCAGGAAAAGTCTCAATAGTTAGTGAAATTTTACTAACCCACAAGGAAAATTTTAGGATCAACTCACCAACACACATTAATTATTATAATTAGCTACTTTTCATACCAAATAATCCAACTCTCTCACAAGATACTTAGAAATTACAAAATGAATGGATATTATTGGAGACTACAATACAAAATAATTGTGACAGATCACTAAACAAACATCTCACAAATTAAAGCTGCTAGCTTTGCTTAGCTACTCACTGGATTTGTTGTTTGTGTGGGTCAAGGGGTTTGGCCTTACATTTAATCTTCTCCTTTTCAGTCTAAGTCTAATCTAATCTAATTTTATGTACTTTCTCCCCCTTAGCCTTCTTCATTTGATTTTGATTTTTCCTACTAACATGTTCATTTTTTTCAATTCTACCAAATTGGTTGGGTTACCAAATCCTCTGACTTTCTCTCAACATTCCATTTGTCATCATGATTTCAATTATGATCAAGATATTTCCTCAAAACCCACAAAACAAATTACACCCCATAATCATTTTGGGGCTCATCTGAGTGTTGGGAGGTGTTTTGATAATAAAAATATATGCGCTATGGGTATAATTTTACTTTTCCCACTTTAAAAAAATTTTTTTAAAAAAAGGAGAGATTCTCTCTTTTCATATTAATCCAGACAAATTTCCACGAATATTTCTTCAAAACATATTGACAAAAATAGGACCCCGTAATCATTTTGAGTGATCTTTTTTATGTAAAACAATTTTTCAATTAAATCATTTTTTAAAAATAAAATTTTATTAATTGCTTAATTTCCAATAATAAAATTGTATTTACATGGTTTAATCCTCATCTATACATATATATTAGATAGGTAGAGAAGAATATAATTTTTTTAGTATATGTATATATAAAGAAGAATATGATTTTATATATAAAACGCGGTTTGGAAACGGGATGAAAAAACTTCCTCCATCCCATGGAGAAAATGGACCTTCCTATTCGGGAGCTATTTGATAGCTCTTTTCATATTTTTTTAAAATAAAATTAAAATATGTTTGAATAATTGATCATCTATTTTGAATAGTTAAACTTATGGGTTTAGATACATATAATTAATAGTCAAACCTCACGGAAATATCTAATGAATGTGTAATAAATAGGTAATACTTTTTTAAGAGGAAAAAAGATACCAATTAAATTGGTCTAAAATATAATTAGTTCAAATTAATAAAAGCATCATCCTTAACAAAATAAGATCACCTTGGAAAGAATTTTCAAACCCCGTATTTAATATTCGAGCCCTATAATTTCCACTTTAAAGAATTTTCAATTCCTACCAAATCCAAATAATTTACCATTAATAAAATACATATATATACTTTCTTGGTTCATTTTGATTCCCATATTTTGAAAAGGWTTGTTTTGTCCCTRTACATTGAAAAAATGTCAATTTTGATCCCTTAATTTTATTGTTGATCTCATTTTTTYTATCGCAACTTTAACACGATACTACACTCAATATATTAATCATACTTTATRTTAAGAAGTTTTCGTTAGGTATAAAATTTATGTTMAAATTTTAAAAACATGAACAAAAATGATCYCCTTTTAGAASSAAAACTGAGAGTACRGAGAAATCTTAATTCATTAACTAAGTGGATCGATTATTATGGTACTTAAACAATTGTTTGTTTTCAATTTAATCTAATAGTTTGACTAAATTACATAAGAACTTGCTAGTAATTATAGGTGGTGTAGGATGACAAAGGTGGTAATATTTATTAATTATTTTGATAAAAAAAAAAGTCTAACCATATTTTATAAAACTATATTTGAAAACAGATCGATTTGGTTGATTTGTCCGTTGGGGAGAAGCAAGAACTGTAAAATTGGCTCGTCGAGATTTATTATTTAGTGTGAATGTATTGAATTTTTATTTTATAATTTGACAAAAAATTGATTTTTGGCTTTATGTATTCACATTAATTTTATGTTACTTAAAGAGAACTCCTTCTATCTGTTTGTGTTTAACTGTAGAATTAATTTTAAACGTTGGTGAAATAACAATAAAAAATCCTAAATTAATTGGATAATGTAAAATATTTTGCAACCAATTCGAATAGTTTGAAAGTTCGAGAGACAGAGAGAGAATAGGTAACCAAATATATTGGTGCAAGATTTTGCCCTAAAAAGATTTTTTTTTCTTTTTTTTTTAAGGTTCTATGTAACTTATTTTTATATTTCTAAATATATAGATAAAAAATTTGATGGTTTTTATTATTTTTTTCTTTTAAGTTTCTGTGTAACGTATATTTTATATGTTTGTGTTATAATAATAGTAAAAAAACTCTATTAAATATATATATATATATATATATATATATATATATTGACATTTATTTATTTGATTATGAAATGTTGTTACAAATTTTTTGCTCTTAAAGATATTTTTCTTTTAAAAAAAGTAGTCTCTATGTAACGTATATCTACATGATTGTGTTCTAATAATAATTAGAAAAAAAAAAGAAAGATTCTTGATTATGAACTTTTTGTTATGCATTTAGAAAAAATTGCTAGTAAAATAGTAATACATTCGAAGTATTACATTAATTAATTAGATAAAAAATTTCACCATTAAAAAATACATTCGTTTCTAATAATTATTTTTAATATAAAAAATATTAAAAATAAAATTATTATCAAACTATAACCTTATTGAAATGAAATTACCCATGAATGATTAATAATATAGAACAACTTCATTATTATTTATTTATTTATGGCCGAAATTAAATATATTGGAAGAAAAAAACAGGTCTCACCACATGAGATCAAGGCTCAACAAGATTTGACAATAAAGTGAAAAACGAACAAGACAAACAACAACCAAATAAACCAATATCAAACATAAAAAAAGCACATCTAAAAGTACCAAAGCTNGAAAATAACTCCCAAGAAGACTCCATCAAAATTCGACCTCTAGAATGAACACTATCTCGTCAAGTATTAGCATGAATATAAATATCACTCTAAATGAGATATTAAGATACAACTTAAAAATCGAACGGTAGACACCATGATAAGTTCTGAAAAAAACTTCAAAATTGAAAATTCTTCGTAACCTTTCATAAAAGTAGTAATTTCTTTCTTTAATATAAAATTTAACTTAATTTGTAAAAATTTGACTTTCATTTTTCCTTCGGGTTGAATTTAAGTTGATTGAGAAAGAAGACTCAGAGAGTCTCTCTTTTCCCTTTATCTCATATCCCCATTTATTTATTTCTCCCAAGACTTTGCTTCACCAAACAGGGCCTTATTAGTTTCATATATATACACTTCTTATCCAATGCCAATTTAATCCACTCAATCTTCTATTACCTTTCAACCCTTAAAAAAAATCTATAAATAGGAACAAAAATTTCATTTTGAAAAATCAATACGTCCTTAATTCTTTGTTAACAAACATAATTTGAATCTTACGTATGCAAGACGACAACTTCATGACAGAAAGATCATATCATTAAATTATATGCATCACGACAATTTTATTGTTAAAAGAGGATTATTAAGCTATTTACTAATTAAAAATCATGTCCATTAGTGGTCATTAACGGAAGATTAGACATAGAGAATCTCCAGAAAGGGAGGAGGTTAAAATAATAAGTTAAAAAAATGAATATTAATGGAAAGGGTAAATGGGAAATTTTTATTTTTTAAAAAAAAATTGGGTTTGCTTAGATAATAATTTGGTACTGAAAAGGAAAAAAATCGGAAGCATTTGAAGTTACCAACACAGAGATTGATGGAACAGCGAAAGATTAAGATGTGTTAATTGCCAATTATATTATTATTAATTTTCAAACGTAATTAATTAAGTGGACGATATCAAATCGCAATTTAAGTTTGGTAAAACAGTGACGTCCGATGGATCCCCTCAACCTGTCATTTCGATGGCGATGATCTTAGGTTGCACACTGACTTTTCTGAAATCGACCTCAGGGAATCTCCACCCAAGTTTTTTTTCTTTTCTTTTTCTTTTCCCTTTTATGTAAAAAAGAAAAAAAAAAATTAGAGATCATGGAATGAAATGGATAACAAAAAGGAAAATCGATGAAATCAAAAAATTTTAAAAATCATTTCCAAGTGTAAATTTGTGGAGGCCGGTGTATTAATTTTTACTTTCATAAAATAAAAAATCTCCAAAAGTTCACTCACTTTTTTTTTCAAAAGAAAAGATTGAATAGATCTTATATAATAATCACAAAATAAAATTTAAGATTGAGTACAACATGGGGAAGTAGGTGATAGAATTTACAACCTCTTGATTGGTTGGAGATATATTTGTATTTACTTAATTATACTTTACCATTCATTAAATACATAAAAACATATATCTTTTCGTAAACACATCTAACACTCATTCAAGTTTAGACAAAAATTGTCAAAGTGATTATAACTCAACAACACTAATTGGCATATATCTCCAACCAATAACCTGTGAGTTCAATTCTCTACCTTACCTGTTGTATTAAAAATAAAAAAGTTTGGACAAAAATTCTAGATCTCCAATTCACGCATAAAAATCAATAAACTTTTTCCAAATTTAAAGGTCAAAATTATTTTGACCCGTTAATTTAATTAATGAATAACGATTTACTTCTTCTTCTTCTTTTTTTTTTCTGGTTTAATATAACAATAAAATGGACATATCTCTAAATCTTCTTCTTCTATTTATTGCAACGTATTCCCCATCCTACGTTGTGGCATGAACCTTATGTTTGTGTTTGTGTTGTCCCTCTCTCTCCTCACTTTCTCTCTCTAATCTCTCTCTATTTTATATATATATATGGAGATGATGTGTATATGGTAAAAAGAGAGAAAGAAGAAAAAAGGAAAAAGGAAAAATCAGAGCTAGAAAATGGGGAAGGGAAGGGCTCCATGCTGTGATAAGAATCAAGTGAAGAGAGGCCCATGGAGCCCTGCTGAGGACTTGAGGCTCATCACTTTCATCCAAAATCATGGCCATGATAACTGGAGAGCTCTCCCTAAACAAGCAGGTACACACCACTCCCCTCCCCGTCCCGACCACGGTTCAAGTTAGAAATTTTCTTAGAGACGCACAAATTATTAAGTTTGATCTTTCGATTTGTGAATTAGAGATGAAAGTTTAGAATCTGGTTATCTCCTATTCCACTCGGTACCATCGGATCACTTAGGCCGACTTTTCGTCCCTGGACGGGTGCCCTTGTTTTAAGTTTATTGCATGTTTTTGC